AGGGGAAATAACCACTGAACAGAGCAGAACTTTAAAACAACACCACAGGTCTGCATTGTAAAAAAAATTTGGTGTCTTTAATATAAAAGAAAAACCCAAAACAAAACAAAAACCCAAAACAAACAAATAGCTGCCTTCTTCCCCAAAGAAGGTCTAAAAACCACAGATGAATAGCAGTTTGTATTTTTGTATATTAAAAATGCATACTTTTAAATGCACGCTATATTTAAAAATGAACACTCCACTTTCCAAAAATAATGGCAATTAAAAAAAAAGATTTTTCATTCAGGCTTGGAAATCAGTACTGAAGGGAACGTTAAACATTGCATAAAGTTTATATCTGTTAAGGCAAATTAGAAAGGAACCAAATGAATGCAGTATCATTCCCAATTTTTCCAATTGTAAAAATGTGTTGTTCTCAACTTTCTGTTTTACAGCTTCAGTTTAACACTGGAGTGTTTGCATGGTTTATTATTATTTTTCCCCTTCTTGCTGTTAACACAAAGCAGTTCTGCCATCTTTAGGCAATTTATGTAATCTATGGAAATATTAACCGCAAGAAAAATATTAGACAAATGGAAACTGATTCCAGTATGTTCTTCCTTCAAAGTCTCCCCTGCATCCAGCACTGTATATTTCAGTGAGCAAGAAAAATAAACAAAAAAAAAAAGATGTGCACATTACAGTGCAATGCACATTCAGGTATTTTGCACCACTATTCTTACCTTTCTGTGGGTGAGAAGGAAAAAAAACCTTGAAAATGCAATACTTGATTTATATGGGAAAGGCACTATGGTTTCTGTGACCCTGGAACATCTGATGGCAGCCATCATGTGTGCATAAGAAGGACTCATTCCTTGCAGTGATACATATATTTTATTGTCCACTGATGCATATATAAAAGGAGCTTGGTATTCTGATACGGAAGCAATAGATGCAAATATAGAGGCATCAATAAAGTGTGACATTTCACAGCCTGAGCTCACCGATATTCCAGTGAGTAGCCAAGTAGCAGAAATGCATAAATTTAGGCTAAAGGCCTAAAGGCACAGATTATGCATTTGCAAGACTTACCCCCCTGGATTTTTGGTGAGTCCCTCAGTAAGATTTCTTCATATTTATCTCTCGGTGTCTTTTCTATTTATGGTATTACCTCCAATGGTGCGTTTGCAGCTATTCTGAGCTACCTATCAGATGTACTCATCATAACCTATTTGTAAGTTCTTCATGACAAGGACCACCTAGCCTTCAACCTTCTGTGCCCCAGGGATTTGTTCCACGGAGAGAGGTTTTTCCATGGACTGGAGATGGCATCGTTTCGTGGTCTGCCTGCATCCCATGGATGGGACTTTGCTTATTTGCACAGTCCATTTTCTGGCATGCCGCAGACCTGCGCCAGTCCTCAGATTGAGGGTTGGTTGGGGATTCCTGATCTACCATTTTCTTT